GCTCCCCCCCACACATCCATTATAGAAAGAATTTGTTTCACCACATCTAAGCAATTTAAGCAAAATTCGTTCATGAGAAACTTGATTTTGCTTTAAGAATAGATGGGTCATATGTTTCACGCTTGAGATATCAGGCAATGCTTTCAAATTGCTCCCCCTAGCGTCCAACACTTCCAGCTTACAAAGATTTTGCACTGACTTTGGAAGATCTTTGATCGATGTATTTCTCAATCCAAAGTACCTAAGAAGCTTTAAATTTCCTATTTCACTAGGTAACTCTTCAATTTTAACACCTCCCAAGTCTAATATCCTCAAATATTTCGACTTTGAAAGAATAGAAGAAATGGATAAATGCAAATGATTAACAGTGCCGCTAAAAGTAAGAATCGAGTAGAGATGAGACTTACATGTGAGCTTTTATAGTGTTCCATCATTATGAGTACAATGAGAATGATGGAACACTACAAAAGCTCACAAGTAAGCCTCATTTCTACTTTATTCTTACTTTTGGCGGCACTGTTAATAATTTGCATTTATCCATTTCTTCTATTCTATCAAAGTTGAAATATTTGAGGATATTAGACTTGGGAGGTGTTAAAATTGAAGAGTTACCTAGTTAAATAGGAAATTTAAAGCTTCTTAGGTACCTTGGATTGAGAAATACCTCGATCAAAGCGCTTCCAAAGTCAATGCAAAATCTTTGTAAGCTAAAAGTGATGGACGCTAGGGGAGCAATTTGAAAGCATTGCCTGATATCTCAAGCTTGAAACCAATGGTTTAAAAAACGGATCGGTGCCCCGGATCGGGCACCCCAAAAACCATCCGGATCGGTGAATCGACGATCCGAATCGGGAATCGGCCGAATCGGTCTGATTAAGCCTTAAAAAAATCCAAAAAAATTTATTAAAATTCATTATAAATGTTGTTTTTTAAGAATCCAATAAAAAATACGGGTATTACATTAATTTGCGAATATTGAGATGTTCTTTCCCTGTATGAACTTATGTTAACCATTAAATTTGCATCACATAAAACAAAAAACATAGATTTATCATGGATAAAGTATAAAATCATACATAGACTACAATAAATAATGGATTAAATCGATGAAAAAATGGCCACTAAAATCTCGAATTGGCGAAAAACCCTAATCCGCTAAAAAAAAACCAAATTATTACAACCTAACTAACTATAATCCAAAATTATTACAACCTAACTAACTACAATATTATATATTGAAATGAAAATTGTTGATTTACATTTTATTATATAAATAACAACAAATTTAAACTATCTTATAATATCATTTAATTTAAAATGTATCATTCACAACTGTAATAAAAATAGTACATTACAAGATTCATAATGCAAATAAATAAATAAATAATAAAATATTTGGTTATCAATATAGAAATTATTAGAATGCGCATCAATTTTTGAAATAACACTTCAATTTTTCAAAAATATAATTTTTTAGATTTCTAGAATAAATTTAGTGGAAGAGATTGCTAGAGACGGAGAGATATTTCAACCTTGTATGAATCCTATCTTAAAATTAATATTCCTAAATTTATGTTAAAGATTGCCATAATATAAAAATAAAAATTATAATTAGATCAGTTATTCCTAGTTTGTATTAAAAAATATTTGTTGCATTAAGAAATACGTTTTATTGACAATAACTACTTGTTGTATTACCTTTTTTTTTGACGAGAAAATATGATACTTGTTATATTACCTTTTATTTATTTTTGACAAGAAAAAAAATATGTTATATTACCTTTTTTTCTAGTTGTTATATTACTTTTTATTTTTTTACAAGAAAATAAGAAAATAATGCTGCCAGTACCTTTTATTTTTTATACCTTTTATTTTGGTTTTTTGACAAGAAATACTTGTTTTATTACCTTTTTTTTTACAAGAACAAAAGAAGATGTATTGTCTTTTTGTTTTTTAGCAAGAAATGCTTGTTGTATTACTTCTTCTTCTTTTTTTATGATATTATTTTCTTCTTTTTATTTTTATTTTTGAAGACAAAAGTAAAAACCTATCTTCTTTTTATTTGTCTTTTTTTTTATGATAGTATTTTCTTTTTGTTTCTTTTTTTTTTTTAAGACAAAAGTAAAAACCTATCTTCTTTTTATTTGTCTTTTTTTTAATGATATTATTTTCTTTTTTTTCTTTTTTTTAAAGACAAAAATAAAATTGCACAATGGCGTCCCCAAAGCTCCGATTCAAGCTTGGGACGTCCCAAGAAGAAACATAGTTGATAACCACCGCAGCCCATCACGCGTTGTTGAACAATTTTCTACAATAATTGTTTATATTGAATAACTTTTCAACATTATATCACTCGGCGCAAATCCCACATCAAAGAATCAAATAAAGTTTCAACGCTATAAATACTGGTACAATAGCATTAATGTTAGTGCGATCGAAAGAATGGGTACACCTGCGGTCCTACCTTTTAAACGAAATTACCAAAATATCCTTGGTTAGTGACTCGTCGACCTGTGAAGTCACTAGCCATTTGGAATTGTGATTTATGATGTCATATAAACGATTCACTGTTCAAAATCGCCCGATTCTCCTCTAGGATCGGGCGATTCCCGGCTTAAAACCCTACTTGAAACAACTAACCCATCTATTCTTAAAGCAAAATCAAGTTTCTCATGAACAAATTTTGCTTAAATTGCTCAAATGTTGTGAAACAAATTCTTTCTATAATGGATGTGTGGGGGGGAGTATAAGGGATTAAAAAAACTTGAAACACTGAAACATATCAGAGTAAAGGGAAAATTTTGTAGACAGTTAAAGGAGTTGCTCCAACTCAAGATCCAATTAGCTGGTAGCCATGATAGAAACGTGTTATGGGCCTCCCTTCAAAAACTAACACACCTTCAATCCCTTGATATATTTCCGACTGATACAAAAAATCCCATTCACTTCGGATCTGTGACTTCTCCAAGTGCCTCTCCGGCTCAGCCCCTACCCATCTTACTACCCTCCTGCCCCCTGGCCCGTTCCGCATCTTCACCCCTCCTCTTTTTTGACCCCCCGCTCTAACCCCTTCACTCCCTCTCGTCTACCATTTTCCCCCTTCCCCCTCCACCCTCCCCTCCCTCTTGGACTTTTCCCCATCCAGGCTAAGCACCCTTCACTCCTCACCTACTCTGTCACCCTCACTAGACCCCCTATTCCCTCTCTCTTACCCCCGCCGATCCTGCCAGCATCATACCCCAACCCTTCTCCTCCTTCAACCTCGGCGTCTGCCGCCACCTCCCATAGGCCTCTTCCCCCTACCCCCCTCCCCCTACCCTCATGAGGTAGGGAGCTCTTTTCATATGAAAAGTGTCATTTTGTGGTAAATATTTTCCTCATGAAAAAATTTTCACATATATTTTCACATGTTTAAGGTAGTCCCTAATAACTTTCTCTGCAATTTCCCGGGGAAAATCCCAGCTGTTGAGTTTCCTAGAATCTGGGAGCAAAGTGAAAATCAGTAGCCTTAAAGCCGGAATGATAATTTGTGGCGATGGTATTTTCATATGTTTGGTATTGGAAAAGATGGAAAGTGTTTGTCTTAACCGTTCATTATGTTTTTCCATTGTTTTGATGGGTGAAATTCATATTTTGAATAAGATTTTCTTGCCACTAACTATCTGACACATTTCCTACCAAATTTGCGGTTAAGGTTGAAAACACATGTAATATATGTGTCTCAACACACAATGGAAAAGGATACCCACTAAAACAAAATATTAGAAAGAAATCAATAACAAACAACAAAAAGAATGTGTATGCTCCATAGAAAATAAAAGTTTCATTATCAATAAAAAAGGAGAAAATATGCGACCCAAGTGAACAATTTAAAGGTGTAATGCTCATTGAGCATTTAGAGCACAAAAAACGGCAGGGCATATCCACAATTAGAAGCACAATTCTTACATTCAATTCCACTAAGTGTTGTTCTCGTTGTCTTTGAGATGAAATGAGAGTCAATGAAGTCAATAGATAGCAAACATGTTGATCAAAGAGAGGCAGAGATCGGGCTAATAATATCGAGAAGCTCAATGGAGAATTACATGAAAGCTACATGCCAAAATTCAAAATTTAACAGAAAAGGAGTGGAAACTCATGTATTCAATAGAAATAAAAGTTAACTTTGAAATTAGCTAGAAATTACAAGCAAATTACCTCAATGAATTACTCAGGAAATTTCCATAATTCAATACAAGTCATTGAAAATAAACTTGACTCGACCAAGAAACAAACTCTAATCCAAAGAGTGAAATTAACAGAATAATTTCTCCTGAAAACCAAACGAAAGGAGAAAAAATCCCACTCCAACCACTCATTTTAACCACATAGTCTACCCAAAGAAATTGTAAATCAGAAAAAGCAAATTATTACCATAATAGCAATAACAATAATTAGCAACAATGTGGAACAAAACAATTGACTAATCGATTTATCCATGCCAGAAATTTAAAAGTAAGTGCATAAGAAAAAATAAGCAATAATGATGAATAAATCATGGATAAACTAAATAAAATCCTCATGGAGGAATCCTAAGATGTGAAAAATTACAGAAATGGCAAAGCAATAGCTACAATAAACAGATAAATAGCATATGAATAAAACCCTAGAAATAACAGAGAAATAAGTGGATAAAAAACAAGGACGTCTGTAGCATACAAAATATTAATTCAATTACCAGAATCATGAAATAAAACACAAATAAACATCACAGTTCAGATCAACAAGGTGGCCAACTACTAACAGATCATTAAAAACCAGAATCTGATCAAACCAGAACACGATCAAATTCCTCCTCAAAAATTCATTAAGAAAAAGAAACCCACCTCAAAAGAGGCAAATAATCCACAAAGTAACCACAACAAAGTTTTAAAAAAAATACCTGTATGAACACGCCATTCATGGAAAAAGACCACAAAATGCAGAATTTGGAGAAACAAATAAGAAACTAGACAACAAACCTGTGAATGATTCTTCGAGCATAATCAACCAACTTGACCCTGTTAAGAAACTTAGACAACAAAACCTATGAATGCTAAACTTGACCCTGTTAAAGTTGGATACCTATGAATGTTAAACTTGACCCTGTTAAAGTTGGATACCTATGAATGTTAAACTTGACCCTGTTAAAGTTGGGTATCCCTATAATCCCTTTAACAACAAAACCCTATTAAATTTTCTTCTTCTTTTTTTTTAGGTACTATTAAATTTGGTTACTCTCTGCATCAAAACCGACTCTAACAACAAAACCCTGCTAAATTTCTAGAAAGAGGCCAACCAGAGCTCACACCACAATGTCGAGAGATCCGAAATCATCTCAAAGTTATAGGGAGAGACTAAAAACCGACTGAAGTTCGATAATAACGAGAGACACCACAAAAATGGGCCGAGCAAAACCAGTCCCAGAAATTCGAGAGAGACAAACAAAAACACAAAGACCAGAGAGAGATGGATGAACGTACTGCGTGTCCTTCTGTCCAGAACGACAAAGTAGGGTTCCTTGATGGCGAAAGCGAGCGGACAGCAGGGTTTCTATCAGACAGGGAGATGGGAGAGAGGTGACATACATACCCGGTAGGGCTTAGAGGGGTAATAAACCTATCTGTGCGCTGGACTTTCCTTAAACTACAGTTAGCCTTTACCTCAAAAATTCCTATCCGTAAGCTACAGTGCATCGGCAAAACATCGGATTTTGAGTTTTGAGTTTCCCCGCCAGAGCCTCAGTCAAACGGAGGAATACCCCGTACGGGCTGGACCGCATTTCTACAGCGATCCAGAAAGTGTAAATCATCCCTCTTAAAAGATGGATGCTAAGTATGTATTTTTCATATTCGTGATCTCCATGTTAGGGATTACATATCTTTAAAAATTAAGCCTTAAAATCTATCTAAAAAAAAAAATTTATTAAGAGACCAGCATTTTTACATATGCGGGCTTGGCTGCATAGAAGACGGGGTCCAACTCTGGGAAAGCAACAAACTTTCTCTTAATTTATGTAGTCATCAAACATTGTTCGGAACAGCGGACCATAATTTATGCACTGCACTCCACTTTAAATAGTTAGAAAAAATTTATGATGATGATGATTATGCATTGTCTAAAAGTGTAAATTATGAACCCAATATATAATATATATATTATAATATTTTCAAGAAAGAAAAAGCTAAGGTCAGCCCACCAACTGATAGAATAGTATAAGCTCAACGGTCTAGATTGAATCGGGACTGATCTGACAGTCACAACTGTATTTTGTAATATAATTTTGATGTTTTTTATATAAATCTAAATAACATGAAATTTGAAGTATTCACTTTTCTGATCAAAGCACACCTAATAAAAGTATTACAAAAATAAATTGTAAAAATAAAATTTATCAAAATGCCCTTTAAATATTTGAGAGGTATTTTGATCAATTTATTTTTTACGAAATTTTTTTTTTATATTTTTATTATATTCTACTATTTTTAAATAATATATGCTCCAAATTTCAAGTGAATTGCATTTATAAAAATATAAATTCAAATATAAAATACAATCGTGATCATTGGAGCTGCCCATATTTAATATTGGTCATTGGGCTTACACTATTCTATCAATCTATGGGCTGACAATAGTGTTTTTTTTAAAAAAAATATTTTATAAAAATATGATCATAATGAAAGAATGACGAACCATAATTCATACAGCCAACCCCAACTAGTTGAAAAAAGATTGTGATGATGATAATTTTTATATAAACCCCACTTCCCTATTAAATCATTATAGAGTCGCATGGTTCTCATGGTGGAGTATGATAAATAATATTATTATTGTATATTTTAAAGGACAACAATTGATGGGTCCAACCTATATTCCCCAATCAAATCATTATTTTGTTTTTTAACATTATAGAGCTGATCTAACTTTGAATGTATGATCTACAAATACTATGCAAAAAGGTCCCCCCCACAAATGAGTACCATAGATAATCCACCATGTAACTTGAATCTAGACCGCCCGTTTAATTTCACCAAACATATATATAGGACAAAATCAATGGTCAAAGCACATTACACTTTTTGGCATTTGATAAATTAATGGAAGGATGCATCGGTGGTCCATTCAAACTTTGTTTCCTTTACTTAAATTTCACATCACAATTAAAAGTATTATGAAGTTTTAGACTAAGGTAAGGGCTCAAATCCCTATTGATTCACCCAAGAAAGGATGATGGCCCATATCCCCATAGGTTCACCCACTAAAAACAAAAGTCGTAGTCACATGGTGGGGGAGAAAGAGCTTTTATTTTTTGTACATTCCGCAGCCGAGAGAATCTATCACAACGGGTCCCATTACCTTTGTAAGGCTCAAAAAAGATAAGTGATACGTCCAAAAAAACATAGTTAAAAGCAGCGATTAAAAAAACGTCGAGTCCGGTTCGATTTGTGAATCGATACTGGACGTGTCGAATCGGTCAAAAAATACGGAATCATCCGGTTCTAGAGAGAATCGGGCGATTCTGTACAGTGACTCGCCGATTCACTGTATGGAATCGGTAAGTCCCGTGAAGAACACGGGCTGCACAGTGTTCTTCACGGGATTCTTCAAAATTTGTCATTTTTTTATCATTTTTTTTGTTTTTTTTGCCCTGTGATCGAATATGTAGGCTTTATACAGATTTTTTCAGCCTTTTAATGGATTAAATGGTGGAGAAATTTCGTTTTTTTTTATCATGAAAGTTGGGTTTTTAGGGTTTCCGCCATTCCTTGTGTTTCATGCCAAATAGGGCATGAATCTGTGAATATTTGTAGTCATTTTGATCGTAAAGTTGTTCATCAAAACATTTTGTTACAAATTTGTGATAATCGTTGAGAAAAACAGAGTAATTTGGAGATTGAATGCTCGGGTCACGAAACCAGGTAAGAACTTTGGGTTTTTTTTTTTTCCGCCATATGATTAATTTTACAGCATATTTTGAAAATAATGAGTTACATTTGTAGGGTTTTTAATCGTTATTGTGGTTTTTATCATTT